AGCCTTCTTAAAACTCTTTAGTTTGACACCCACATTTATTTTATCAATTTAACTGAGTTAAAATTTTCAAATAGGTGGCAATCCTCCTCAAAAATATTTTTCCCTCAGTCATCTTTCTTAGGCCTCATTAATCTGATACCCATATTTTAATATGTCATTTATTTTATCTAGTTAATAGAGTTTAAAATTTTCAAATAGGTCGCAACCCTCCAAATTATTGTGACATAAATGATTCAGCCGTTCTCGATTTTTAACGACCGTGACATACGAACACAACATTTTTTATATACATAGATCTCTAAATCAAGATTTCTCAAATGCACTTAGTTTGGGACCGATATTGTAACATTTCATTTATTTTACCAATTTAATTGAGATTGTTTTCGCACTGACGCGAAATCAATAAATCAATTGAAATAAACACTTTTTCCTTTAGGAAATGAAAGATATTGATATTTTAATTTTTAACAATATTAAATTAAAGGAAATGATTAGCAAACGTATTGCGCAGGTGATAGCGAGCGAATGAATCTTAAGCCTCTCGCTTGGCTATTCGGCAGCCTACCCTTTACTTAAATTCATATTATAATTCTATTCACAATAGTTTTAAATTTGTTACATAGCTCCTTATATAGGCTGTGGTGTAAACACTAAGTATTTTAAGTGTTATACATATTTAAATTCAGGTAAGTATTAAATGAGCAAAATAAAAAGGTAAGTATTACAACGTATTAAATATAAAGGTAAGTTCATTCAATGTTAGTAGATATATAAATGTATATGTATATATTCGTTCCATGCATGTTTAAAGGAAAACTTCGTATCGCTTTGTTCATAGCTCTATCAAGTTGGGATTCATGTGCTCAGCATGCCGGCGGGGCTACGGCGACGTAGCCTCTACTAGCTGCTCAAGTGTTTGCCATCCCTGATTGAACAGCCCGCGGTTGCGCCGTTGGAAGGTAGGAGCGGGACGTGGTTGTGGAGCTGGTTTCTTTTCTCCACTTCCGGTGAGTCTCGTGCCGACTGCGTAACATTTCCTTGCTTGCGC